GGAATTTGAGACGATCCTAACTGTTTAAAGGTTTGATCGTTCAATTTGTGGACCTCTCGTTCATGGAACGAATCGAGAGGGGATTTTGGCTTTGGTCCTAACTGTTTAAAGGTTTGACCAAGATGGGAATTTGAGACGATCCTAACTGTTTAAAGGTTTGATCGTTCAATTTGTGGACCTCTCGTTCATGGAACGAATCGAGAGGGGATTTTGGCTTTGGTCCTAACTGTTTAAAGGTTTGACCAAGATGGGAATTTGAGACGATCCTAACTGTTTAAAGGTTTGATCGTTCAATTTGTGGACCTCTCGTTCATGGAACGAATCGAGAGGGGATTTTGGCTTTGGTCCTAACTGTTTAAAGGTTTGACCAAGATGGGAATTTGAGACGATCCTAACTGTTTAAAGGTTTGATCGTTCAATTTGTGGACCTCTCGTTCATGGAACGAATCGAGAGGGGATTTTGGCTTTGGTCCTAACTGTTTAAAGGTTTGACCAAGATGGGAATTTGAGACGATCCTAACTGTTTAAAGGTTTGATCGTTCAATTTGTGGACCTCTCGTTCATGGAACGAATCGAGAGGGGATTTTGGCTTTGGTCCTAACTGTTTAAAGGTTTGACCAAGATGGGAATTTGAGACGATCCTAACTGTTTAAAGGTTTGATCGTTTTGGCCTCTCTCAGCTTTCTTTCTTTTAAGAAAGTGCTCAGCTTGTTCACCCCGAGATTTTAACTCCTTCCAAGTTGTGGATGGCACGACCCCCAGAGCTTCCAGGACATCGATGGAGAGGTTATTGTGGCATGTTTGCAGGATGAACTCCTCTGTGATAGGATCTCTGCAATTCATTGCCATGTTACGGAAGCGCTTGACAAAATTATCAACTGACTCTCCATCTTTTTGCTTCTCATCCAATAGGGTTCCGATTGACACTTCGGTGTCATCATCGAAGAAACTGCTGAGGAACAAACTTTCCATGTCATCCAAGCAATTGATGCTTCCTGGCTTGAGCCGTCGGTACCAATCGAAGGCGGGCCCACGAAGGGTGCTAACGAATGACCGGACCATTAAAGCCTCGTTTTCAGAGATCATGCTCAAATGAGACTTGAAATGTGAAGTTAATCAGATTGAACTTCGCCGGGTACGGTATTGAATCCCATTCCCTTGGATAGGGACATGGAATACCCGTCTTCTTAACTTCTTGAGCCGTCATCAAAGCGTTGATTTTGTTTTCAAGCTCTTTCATTTTCTCATCCTCGTCTATGTCTTCATTCGAAGGACGTTGAGGAGAATGAGTTAGACCACCCCCTATAAGAGGTGCCATTGAACCACTCCCAACATCGTTATTGGGAGAATGTGTTAAACTACCCCCAGCGTTATTGCTATTGGGAGGTGTATCAGCCATAATGACTTCATCCATTTCTGGATCACTAGCATCCACAACATTCCGAGTGTGGTGGCTGGATTCAAGTCGCTGATTGGACTCAGGAGGTTGAGGCTGTTGAGTTAACAGTTCTCTCATTTGTTGGATAGCCAACTTCATTTCTGTCTTCACTTCAGCTCTAATTTCTTCACGTTGTTTGGCTAGAGCTTCCTGAAGTATTTGAGTGAACTGATCAGCAGTGATTGTGAATACTTCTCTGATTTGTCCTGTGCTAGACATTGTATCATCAGAAGCGATTGCAGAATAAGTGTCCGAGAATTCATCCTCCGAGGACATTCCTTCTTGCATTCTCTTGTAGTCTCTGCGTCTGATAGCTCCTAATTGGAGTCGAGACATCCTTTGAGCAATTCTTGGATTGACTTTTCCTTTCGGGGAAAAGTCGGGATTTGAGTCACTTGAATGCTGTTTAGACTTTCTTCTATCAGCCACGTTGATGGTGACTTCAGGGAATTCATCATTTTGGACAGCTGCTCTTCTTTTGCGGAAATGTCTCGGCTTAGGTTTCGATAATACAGAGACTTTTCGTGGGATGACTTCTCGTTTGAAACAGTCACATTCTGATAATGCTGTTTTAACGAGTCGCGCACAGGAACAACGAGAGTTTATCTCTCGAATAACTCTCTTTCGAAAATTATTCACAACTTCAACTTGATAATACGATTCATCGGTATGATTGCCAAAAAATCGTATCGTCTGTTGGTATGATCTCCCAGGTATGACGATATCATTTGGTGAATGCGTCTTCTTCTGGGGGTATAAAACCTTGTTGGCATTCTCAGGACAATTTATTTTTGTCTTTAAGCGATCCAAGGTTATGTCGGGAGTCGCACGTTTAGAACCACCCCCTTGTGGGTATGGAGTCTTAACGGGCTCCGAATGCTGATTTTGCATAAGTCCAGACTTTGGAATCCAAACTTGACGAAGTTTTGGTGATTCTTTGGTCACCATTTCCTTTCTCTTTTCTCGTCTTTGTTGTGAGAGAGCATGGGCATTAGCAGCTTTTGCACGACGTTTTTGTATACGTTCTTTGAGGGTCGAACGAGTCTTTTTGTGGATTATGCAGACCCGATTTTAGTACGAGTTTGGATTTGGGGATCCATACTTTGTGATTCTTTGGTGCTTCCTTAGACACTGTTTCCTTCTTCCCTTCTCGTCTTTGTTGTAAAAGAGCACGGCCACGAGCGACGTTTGCCCTACGCTTTTGTATGCGTTCTTTGAGAGTTGAGCGATCCCTTTTGACAAGGGTCCATTCCTCCGTCGTGAGTTTAGCAGAGACATGAGTAATTGGTCGTTGAGACAACTGAACCACTCTATGTCTCCTCGACTCTAAGTCCACATGATAACGAACTCCGTCGGTTTGTTCCAATGCCTTAGCCATTTGACGAGCGCGGCGCTGACGTTGTCTCTGACGAGCCCTCTTCATCAGTGCTGGTTGGCTTTGATTCGATGACTCTTTAACTAGATAAGAGTCATTATGAGCAGAGGTGTTGCGAGAGTCTTCATTCTGTGCCTTCTTTGGCATGGAGGTCTTCTTCAATGGTGAGATCCTCTTGTACTTGCGAGATAATGAAGATCTTGAAGAGGATGAGAGATATTCCTCAAACTTGGTTTGGTCGAATTCATATTCGACCATGGATTCAACTGGAATCTTGATCGGCTGCGACACGACGGTCTCGGCAGCGAGACCGTTGGCTCCCACTGTGGTCGCCAGCTTGTTTGCGTCAAAAGTTGGTTTTGTCATGGAATTCATTATATCTTCAGTCGATTACAATAAATTCAAAAGAAATAGCCTTTTTATAAGACTTCTTTTACACAACAAAAGGAAAATTACAACTCTTGAGAAACAAACGCAGGACCGTTGTTTGGATCGCTGCTTGCGTGGGATCTTTGCCTGTGCCGGGGGTGCGTTAGCCCGTGTTCTTGAGGATGTTTGTGAAGAAGAAAGACTCTCTTTCTTGCTCTAATTCACCAAAACTCAAGGCTCTCTGCTCTAATCTGCTCTGGAAATGCTCAGCCCCTGTCAATGATGGCCATAGTCGGGTATTTATAGCCTCCTTAGACGATAACTGAAGAAATAGCCGATCAACAACTGTCTCTTTAGGCGCGGCAGTTGATGCTGTCGCGGCTAAAGGGCGCGACAGTCTACACTGTCGCGGCCAAAGGGCGCGGCAGTCGATACTGCCGCGGCTAAAGGGGCAGTTACACCCACGTTCATACGTGTTTGAAACAGTTCTCCCACGACCTTTAACCACCTTTTTCGTGGTTTAACTGCTTTTCCACATCAGCACACGTTCTATTTCTGATACTCCGCCACGTGGACTTTAAATAATCATCAGATAACTGTATTATAACTGCTGTAGCATCCTGCTTTAACTGCCGCGGCACCATAGGTTGCAGCGGTTAAGCCGCGACACCATAGGCTGCCGCGCCTTAGCCGCGGCACCTTGGTCTGCCTTAGCCGCGGCACCACATGCTGCCGCGCCATGGCCGCGGCGCCATGAGCTATCGCGCCGGAGCCGCGACACCAAGCGTTGTTTGTTGGTGTGTACATATTTTTCCATGTTGTCTTGAGTGGTGTTTGGACGTCTGTAAGCATTTTTTGACGCCTACACTATTAGAGGGAGAGAATACAACTAGGGTTTACAATCACACAACTAAAACCCTCAAGCAAACTCTCAAATCCCTCTTAATCTCTCTCTACAAAAGAAACAAAAAAAAGAAGCCTTTGATTCGCCACCTAAAAGGAGAATTGCACAGCCGCCTTTTCTTTGTATCTACGTTTTTCACCTGCATGCAAATCAGCCGCCCAAG